CTAACCCTGATTATTTTTGAATTCTTATAAGATGTATTTCCACAATTATTGCTGCTCGACAACATTGTAAGCAAGTATATGTTGAAAGTGGCTAGAGATTGATATGCAATAAGGTTGTAAACAATTTTTAAAGCAAGGTTGTTGTGATTATGGCATCAGATTTATTACTCATGATCAACAACTTATGGGAGAAAATGATTGAATAGAGACATGGGGAAAATACATCAATTTTAGAGAAATAATTTGGTTCTATGTTAAAAAATCTATAGTGGATGCAATTTTTCATGATAAGATAATTATTGGAAAAAATGAAAAATATACGAGCAGATAAATGGTCTTCATATATTTTTTATTTATCCTAAAACTGAATACTATCGAGTGTTATGGGGATTGATTTGGTGCATTTTAAGGAAAAATGTGCATGCTGAAAGTCTGTTGATGTTCTTAAAGAGATGTATCTGAGTATTGGCTATAATGTTAAAAGTTGTTATGGAGTGATGAAAGAGTTATCAATTTTGACGGATTACATTCAAAGTGATGTAGCTATGGTGTATGTTTTTGCAAATAGCTGCTTAAATTTATCATATATCTTTTGAAAATGTCAAAAATTTGAAAACATTGGAGAGAATTTTTAGATGATAAAATACTATTAGTAGAATAAAGATTTAGTATATGATTTGCAATTTTAGTAGGTGTGATATTAACCATTGGTAGTCATAATATTAAAATATTAGTAATTTTTAAGTGTGTAAGTTTAAGTATCTTGATCATTGGGTGGTTAAAATAGAGAAGTGCCTCGTGAATATTAGGCAATTAGAGGAGATTAATGAGACTTTATGTTAAATTTTATAAAACTATAATTAGGTTTACTTTATTTTATGGATTTGAGTTTTGGGAAGTAAAAATGGTCATTGCTAGGTAAATTATACAAAGAAAAATGAGAAAATTAAGATGATCGTGTGATAAAATTACAAAAGATAAATTGTTTAATGATTTTATTTAAAGGGATGATTGGAGTAATGTCTATTGAGATGAGATGGTTTAAAATAAATAGATGAGTTTAACTTTTATAATTAGGAGCAAAAAATGCTCCAATTAGATTAGCTGTTAAAATTGGGTTTGAAGGATTGGGAATGAAATGCTATAGATCTAAGGTAATACATATATAAGTTGTTCAAAAATATTTGAGAAGAATATAATTTTCAACAATACACCTTTTGCAGAACAAAACTGATGTGAAACTTCTAGGAGTTACTTTGGAAATTAAAAGAACAATTGAATAAAACTTTGCTCACGACAAATTATTTCTTGAATTTAAAAGAAAGTAAGAATTTAAAGAAATCGACTTGCTTAGGCCAAAGACATGCAATTGAGATTAACCAAATAATTCAATCCAAGTTCAAGACAAAAGTAGATGCTAGATACTCATAACATAACACAACGCTTAACAACGAGAGGTTCACCTTGATGTCCTTCTCTCACAATGATTAGTGGGCTTTTAGCGGAGAATAGCGAGCCACAAGATGAAAGATATTACGATGAAGGAGGCGACGCCGAAGACTTTCATTGACGGGGAGGTAGCTGGTGGTGGAGGTGGTGGATGACCGACGATTACCCAAAGTCCCTGTAGAAGATGCTCTTCAATTGATAACGTCAGTTGAAACAAGATGCGGTCGATGTAGTCTTCAACTGTTTCGTCGTTGCCAAAGGAGACGTCAAAGAACAAAGATCCAAGTATGTCCCTCCTCCCTTAATCGTCGAATACAAATCCGTGGTCGACCTCAGGATCGGCCATGCATCATTGAATAGATGGGGAGAGCGCGTCGTCTTCTTCTCTTGGCTTCAAATATTGTGAGGAACCAAAGCTTCCCTAGGGAGGGAGCAAGAAGAGTGGCGGCCAAGGTAGAGAGAGAGGGGGCGGGTGGTTCGGGTGAGAGAGTTTAAGTTAGATGGAGGAGAATGAGATTTACTCCAAATTTGAAATTAATTTCAGATTTTGAGTAATTTTGGAGGGAATCTATTTGAAATTGATTTCAAATTTCAAATAGAGTTTACGGGAATTAATGAGCATTGAATGGGAGCCCATCAAGATAGGGCAGGCGGCATTGAGAGAGAGAGAGGGAGGGGATTGGGGGAGGATTTGGGGAGTTTCCAAAGATGAAAAGTGAATTAGGAAAGCTACTAATAAATCCAATCTGTTTTGAATTTAGATTGGAATCTTGAATAAAACTTTTCTAAATAGGAATTTCAAAAATGGAAAGAATTTGAAATTCAAAATTTTGAATTTCAAATTGAATTAAATCATTTCTATTTTCTTATAGGGTGAATATGGAAAGTCATTAGGGTGTTGAGATCACCATAATGAGGGAAATTATGGGGTGGCCGACAGCATGGCTAGTGGGGATTGAAGTGGCGCCGGGTTGGGTGGGGGCGAGGGAACTATGTGGCGGGTTGGCTTGGTAGGGGAAAGCATGGGATGATTTTGGTTGGAGATGGCCGGCGGTGGGGCTAAGGAGGTTGGCGGGTAGACGTGGAAAAGAACAAGAGGTGGAGAAGAAGACGAAAAGATAAAATAAAAATAAAGCCACGAGTCGCGGACTCTTCCAACGACTGGTAGGTAATACACTCGCTCACCATGAGCTCAATCACCCTTCTCTAGCTCTCATGCAAGAAGAAGAATAAGAAACCAAATTTCATTAAGCATTCATTAAAAAAAAAATACAACATATGAGACCACTATATATAGGTCTCTTCTCATGAAAAGAATAAGTTCAAGATTGCCCTTTGGTCTACAATGACAAAACAACTACCCAAAGAGTAAAAATGGAAAACGATAAATAACTAGATAACATATCATGAAAAATTGAATCAAAAGTAGAGGCGCTGAATCGTGGCCGTAGATCTGCGATTCCTTCGTCGATTAACATGTCGGTAGCATCTGTCGATGTCCTCATCAAAAACATTAATGAAATAAAAATGAGGACTCCTAAAGTCAACCTTAAATAGTTAGGATAAGGCTAATGATGATGCATGATGTAAAAGCTGAATATGAATGAGTTAGCTTAGTTGACTTTGTTAACTAAGTTGTGAAGATGAAGGAGCTCATGTTCTTTATATTCTTTTGAGAAAGAGATTATTCAAAACCCTATATAGTAGTTAGCTTGAACTGATTAAATCGATTTTAAATGATGTGGTAGCTACATTGGAAAGTAGGGGTGTAAACGAGTCGAGTCAAGTTTAGGCTCTTATTTAGCTCGGCTCGTTAGTTGGAAAGCGAGCTCGAACTTGAGCTCATCTCACTGTAAACGAGCTCGAGCCGACTAGCGAATCCATCGGCGGGAGTTTTTAAATTTAGGCGGGATTTTTAAAAATTAGGCGAGATTTTTAAAACTTAGTCAGAATTCAAAAAAAAAAAAGAATTGTTCAACATATAGTTTTTATTAATTTTTTTAATATTTAAATTTAATAAATAAAATAAAATTATTTCAAAAAATATTAATATTTATTCGAGCCGGCTCGATTGACTAAGCAATACTCTGAACAATAGATCCAAGATATCTAAAAATTGTACTCTTATTAATGACTTGATCGTCCAAAGTCACAATCCCCTCACTAGGTCTATTGCTACTAAAATTATACTCCATATATTCAATTTTAGATCTACTTAAATGAAAATCTCGAGACTCTATGGTTGACCTCCATAATTCAAGTTTACCTCTAAAAGTAATAGTCAAACAAAATTATGGGTGTTATTCGAAAAGTAAAGTAGCTAGAAAATTATCCCAAACAGACCCGAAATCTGCCAAACTTCTTATTTGCCGTGGCAAACATTTATGGAAGATTATAATGTTTCCTCCCATAGTTCAAATGTGTGTTTTTCATGGATTCATTTAATATTTTTGAACATTAGAACAAATAATGTGTCCTTCAATATTTTGAATCTTATATTGAATAGTCTATGTCAAGCGCAAAGCTAAGGTATGTAATTAAATGTAGTCCTACTGCACCCAATTATCCACAAATAATTATCGTGCTTATATATATCTTAATGACACTTAACACAAGAAAAGTGATATAACCATCCACGCATCCTACAAGCAATATTAACCCAATGATTGTCTCTATGATTATCAACTTGCTTTATGGATACATTCTAAATTTTTAAGGTTGTGTTTTTTGTATGCTAAGCTTGATCTCAATGATAATTTTCCCCAAATTTTGGTTTTTACTCATTTACGCAACCACTTATCTGGCAGAACACAGTTAAATTAAATTCCCCAATTAATTATGCTGCAAGGTCTAAAGAAATGCATAATTAAGCTAGGATTTCTTTTAGACCCTCCTGAATGTCAAGCCCAAATCTCTAACATTAAAGCCCAACTAAACCAACGCTATTCCATTATTAAACTACAAATTTTAGTAAATCATTTTCAATCAACATAATTAACTTAGGTCTAAATTCATAAAAGAAGCCATACAAGATTTAGGCCAGCAACTAAAAAAAAAAAAAGATTTAGGCCAGCAACTAAATTATCTATTGCAAGCATGATAAATCTAAATTTTATTATATTAGAGCAATAATTTTTCGAGGCAGGCTAAGGTTTTTGTTGCGTTTAGTCTAAGAATGAAAAATCAAGGGGAAAATTTTCCATGTATAACTTCTTCTGATAATTTAGTCCTAATTACCAAGTTGTCCGTCATAAAAAAATCATATTTCAACATTTATTATGATGAAAATAGCGAAAGTTTCTTCAAATTAAGTGAGTCTTTTCGCCCATCATGAGCTTTAGGAAGAAATCATAAAGGGGAACAATATTATTAACTTGTTTTTATTCTCGCAATAAAGTGATGCTGATTTATCTCTTTGTTAATAAACTCTGGCTTCCTTTGATATTTTTCTGGTTGCATTTATGTATTCAGCTTATGTTATACGATATATTTTTAGCTGATCTGCTGCCTTGTTTTCTTTCTGATTATTGAATTAATTTCTCCAAAAACAGTGTCGTAAGAAGCATAGCTACACATGCCCGCATTTTGAAGCAACAGGGAAATGTCATCAAGGATCTCTGTGCAAGCTTCATCATCCTAAAAGCCAAAGTAAGTCAAGAAAAAGGAAAAGAACCAAGATCCAAAGCTGCAGCAAGGGACGTTACTTCTCTTACAGCATTGGCAAGGCTGTTGAACCTCTAGAAGTTCCTTCCAGCCAAAATGATTTGGAGGGCGGTAAAGACATCTTTTGTTCTGATGGGCGATTTACTGAATATATCAATCTTAATGTTGATAGTGATAATGTTGCCATAAAAAATGTTGCTATCATGGAATCATATGCGGGAAAGTTGGAATCTGGCTACCTTGATATGCAGTCTTGTGATATAGATGCACTCATAAAGCCTGTTCGGATCATGAACAGGGATGACCTCACAATATTTTAACCTTCTATGATAGACTTTTCATTCTTATAACCCGTTCAAGTTTTCTTTTTGCTGTTTTTTCTGCTATTTTACTTTTATCTCAGGTTAATGGGTTTATACAAATCAAAATCTTCATTTTCTTCTTACAACAGCTATCAACATTGTATAGCTCTATTAGAGATCCCTTATTTATTTTTTTTAACTTATTAAATTAGTTTGGATGAAATTCATGCATTTTTTATTGCTTAACCATGCCTAAGAGATGCATAAATGTTTCGGGAGATAATTGCTTGGATTGCTTGAGAAACAGTTTGTGATTCTTGCCCTTTGGTCCTTTAAATTAGTGGAGTTCAATACATATTTTATTTATTCTATATTCTATACTGGACCGTACAATGGCTGAAATGTTCTGAAATATCCAAACAAAAGTGAACATTTTGTTGTGTTGGCTTCCTTTGGTTGTTTCATCTTCTAAATATGATACTATGTGCATGATGTTAGCTTAAATCAGATTAAATTGTTTTAATTGGATCTCATGTTATGGATTAAATGAACAGTGTTGTTCTTATATTTGAAGTCCATAGAAATAAATAATCTTGAAAATAAACTGAGGATTGAAATTAGCACTAGCTTTATTCTTCCAAATAGCTAGTACTTCATATAAATATTGTCTATGGTATAGACAAGGCCTGAATATTATCCATATGATGGGTAGATAAATTAATGTAGGAAAAGAAAATTTTACATGAATAGAAGTTATGCAAAATAGGCTTAGCAAATATCACCTCAGGCAACACAATAATAATGAATGAAAAATGAAAATTCATAAATCCTTGTAAGGCTTATGGTGATGACTATTTCAAAAAAGCATAAGGTACTTTTGTTTTTTAAATGCATTGGAAAAATGATATTCCTGTGATTTTGTAGTAATAAAAAAATTCAAAATATTAAGATTTGGTTTGCTTACGAGGAATATAATTTTTTGTGGAAAAAGTAATTAGTGATATTAAGAATGGTGTGAAGTATGTGCTTGGAGAACAAATGAAAAAGCTCATAATAGTAGAAATAGTTGATTGTGAAATCAAAATGTGCATGAAAATTTAAAAATTAGAAGTTTTGTTGCGAAAATTGGTTTAGATGTAAAAATAAAAAAAATAGAAATATATTGAGTTGCCCATAGGGATTTTAAAAAAAGCAATATATAATGCAAAGAATTTCGTTTTTAGTGATTTATATAATATATTAAATAGTGTCAAAATCTCAGTCATCCCTTTGCATTTGATCCCATGGTCAGGATGAGAATCTGTGGGAGGCTCACCTAGATCACGCCAATATCCTTCTATATTTGGGTAGCTGAATTAGGAAGGATTATATTGAGGCAATTATGTATCAATTAGAAGTTATTTATTTCCTTATTAAGACATCTTGTATATATCTATAAATAGGGATAACTTTGTATAATAATTAGAAGGTATTTTTACTCTTCTCAAATTCTATGAATTCTAACATGGTATCAGAGCCAAAGAAACTCCGGTGGCCTTCATTGCCGAATATTCCAAGCTTCTGACGCTGCAAGAAGCCAGGGATCCTTCAAGACGCCAGCGCAACCACGGACAAAACCCTCGACTGAAGCTCCGATTCCGCTAAACACCGGCGTCGCAGCAGGGTCCGAACTTGCGCGAGCATAGAGAACATCATGAAAGGAGCCAAAGAAGCGCCTCCTATGAAGCACCCAAAGCCGAACAGGAGAGACGTCGAAGGAGGATAGTCGAACAACCACAAACGAGCCGAAGGAGCGAAACTTTCGATCTGACCGGAAGGGAAAGTCATCGAAGCAGTGTAGTCGAACAACCACGAAGGATCCGAAGAAGCGACGCACCTCCTACGAAGCAACGAAGTCGTTGCCATCCTGATCGACGCCATCTGTCATCTTCCAGCACTGCGCGACAAAAACCCCTTCGCCGAGGCCGTGCATCACGCGTGCGAGCTCCTCCGCCGATAACAATCTGTTGCGATCAAGATCGAAGACAAAAAGCGCGGCGAAGATCCTCGAGCGCTACTATGGAATCAACCTTGCTAGTATTCATATCCGCAAACTCCTCAAGACTGATGAATCCATCACTGTCGGCATCGACCTCGCTCATCACTTGAGCGAGCACCACAGCTGACGCCGTGTGCCGTAGGCTATCGAAGATGGCGCCTAGCTCCAATGACGAGATCTTTCCGTCTTCGTTAGAGTCAAATTTTCGAAAAACGAGCTCGAGCTCCTCTTGTGTCACCACCTATAGCAACTTCCAATGAAGTTGGCTCTGAAGCCTCTCCACTGGATGGGGTGGCCTTTGATTTTCTTAAACAGACTTCTGCTTGCGTAGCTACCCGATCCAAGTCATAAAAGACCAATCAGTTATTTCAACAACAACAAAAGGGAGAGAATCATCGACCTTTATTATTGACATAATCAAATCAGCCTTTATTGCTGGTATAAACAAATCAGCCTTTATTGCTGGTATAAACAAATCAGCCTTTATTGCTGATCAAATCAGCCTTTATTGCTGATACAAGCAAATCAGCCTTTATTGCTGACATGATCAAATCAGCCTTTATTGCTGATCAAATAAGCCTTTATTGCTGATACAAGTAAATCAACCTTTATTGCTGATACAATCAAATCAACCTTTATTGCTGACATGATCAAATCAGCCTTTATTGCTGATCAAATCAGCCTTTATTGCTACTATATCACACCACCGGCCTTCATTGCTGGAATTATGAGAAATAAGGGTTCCCACTACCGGCCTTCATTGCTGGAACTATGAGAAATATAGGTTCCCACTACCGGCCTTCATTGCTGGAATTATGAGGAATACAAGTTCCCACAACCAGCCTTAATTGTCGGAATTTTGAGGATAGTTTTCCATTATCGGCCTTCATTGTCGGCTTTCTTTGGTGGTTGATATCCTATCCATAACCAATGCAGCTCTACCTCTGAGCGAGTAATTGCAAGCTGGTCTCCAGCTTGAGGGGGAGTGTCAAAATATCAGTCATCCCTTTGCGTTTGATCCCACGGTCAGGATGAGAATCCGTGGGAGGCTCACCTGGATCACGCCAATATCCTTCTATATTTGGGTAGCTGAATTACGAAGGATTATATTGAGGCAATTATGTATCAATTAGAAGTTATTTACTTCTTTATTAAGACATCTTGTATAGATCTATAAATAGGGATAATTTTGTATAATAATTAGAAGGTATTTTTACCCTCCTCAAATTCTATGAATTCTAACAAATAGTAAGGAGGATGAAAGTTGTATAAGTTAATGAATTAAAGAGATGGGAGAAGTCAAAATTTAAGTCAAGTGAAGTGCATTGATGAAAATTAAAATTTGTTTTTTTATTAGATGATATTCAACATAGGTAGATGAGATATTTTGATAAACTTTTTAAAGAATGTTGTGAGAATATGATTGACTTCATTAATTTCAGCATCCTAGATGCAAATAGAGTTTTTTTTTATTATTGTTGTATTAGTAAAATTAAAGTTGAAGAGGGTTTAAAGAAAGTGAATTGTGAAATAAATAGTAGGTTATGATGATATTCCAATAGAAGTGTGGAAATGTTTAGGAGATCAAAGAATTTTTTGCTTACTAAACTTTTTAATGTTATTTTGAAGACTAAAAAATGCCTGATGAGTGGAGGAGTGTGTTTGTTTCTAATTTTAAGAGTAAAAGTGATGTATAAGAATGCAAATTATAGAGGAATTATGCTAATGTGTTATATATATTAAAATTATAGAAGAGTGATTAGTCATATGTTATGACTAATACTAATGTTTCTTAAATTCAGTTTAGGTTCATGGTAGGTCTATTATGAAAGCTATATATTTGTTGAGAGATTTGATGGAGAAGTTTAGAGAGACTAGTGAGTGTAATATTTATCGATCTAGAGAAAGTATATGATAAAGTTGCTAGAAAAGTGCTCTGGAGAGCTTTTGAAAATAATAGAGTTAATGATGAATATATTCAAGTCAGTAAAGATAAGCATACAATCAGTGGAGGGAGAAGGTAAAGTTTTACATTATAGAAACTATTTCAGAGTTAAAGCTTTTACTGCTACCTATTCTCTAATCAACCAAAAAGTTAAGGCTTCAGTTTGCAATTCAAATACTGAGCCCGCCATCCCTCTCCTAAATTTAATTTGCTTTTTGTTTTCTTTTCTTAGTTGATTTTGCTAGTGAGATATTCACCTGACACATGTTAGACGCAATCCAATAACATAGGTGATTTCTGATGTTATTAAGGACATGGTTGTCCAAATGCCAAAATTTATGCTTTTATCCTTTATTATCTGGAAGCTTGTTAGGAATTAGGAGCCTATAGGACAAAGCAGATTACATGTATTACAAAGTACACGGATTTCCACATCCATATTCTCGTATTAGTGAACTTTCCATGAAGAACAGGTCCGTGGCAAAAATTGGCTTGGTGCAGCCTCAGAGATATTCGAAATTATTTAAATTTCTTCAGCAACTATGATAATAATCCTGCATAACTACAGAGTGAATGTGAAACATCTAAGAGGTTTTTAATATATCATATACAGTAATTGAAGCTTTTCTTCAGCAAAGATCTCAGAAATACTGGTTCTTGATTCTCTCAAGTTTGTAAATAGCTTTTGCTCTGCTGTTCTCTGTGATAGTTTGTGGTTTGGTGCTCTATTCAAGAAACTTATGGATTGATGGTCTCCTGGATGTTAACTGGATTTAACTAAAGATTTGCTTTGTAGGTAAAAGGCCGAGTAGAGTACCAGGTAGAGTACGTCAACGTGGTGATAGTTTTTTCTCTTACTTGCAAGGTTTTGTATTTCATTCTTTTCTGCATTCAAATGAATGTTTTAATCAGCATGGTCTCTCATCTACTCAGAGGAGAAAGACCAGATTATATGGTCATTATAGATTCTGGAAACTGATGCATTGAATGTGAAGTATGTTTCTGCTCTAGCTCTGCTTCATTGGGAACTTGTTATTGAGATTGGTTGGGTCGTGTTTCATGGTCTGCGGTTTATATGATTATT